TTAACGGAGGCTGTGAACATGTTTCAGACTTGACACACCGTGTCCAAATGCTTTGTGGAAAAGCCAGACCCTCAGTTGCGTCTTAACCACCAGCATGGCAGAGTGCCTGTTTCTGCCCGCTCCTCATTTTTTTCCTTTGCTCCCTCTTTCTTTCATTTAGTCATGAATGCATGTTCATTTGACAGTTATCTGCTGAGTACCTTCTGTAGCCAAAGCACAGTGGGTCGTGGAGGTACAAGACTCGGACTGCTCAGGAAACAGCCGTTGTGATGAATGCAGTGATGGTGCAAATGTGTGACTGTAACTTGCGGTGAGGGTTATGAAGAAAGCTTCCCAGGGTTATGGGTCCTAAAACTTCCTATGCCCTCTGGCATAGAGACAGGACTGCAGGAGAAAACCATGTCATGGCTTTTTCAAGGCTGCAAGAGTGCTCTGTGGCAGTGGGGCACGCAGGATGGAAGGTGCCTTTTGTGAGGTCTGGTTAGGGTAGGCTTGGCGGGGGCGGGGGGCACGCTGGGCGTGGACCTTTATCCAAAGAGTGGTGGGGAGCCACTGAAGGGTTTAAGGAAAGGGGGTGGCAGTGACCTAATCATAGGTGAGAACATTGCGGGGCCAGAGTGGACCCCTAGAGTATGGGATTAGATGGCGGAGGTGGGCTTGGTGTCTGTCCCCAAGCAGCACTGCATGATCTCACTTTTTTAATTGCTAATTGGATGAATGAAAACGTAAAACGTGTTACCTTTTCATGTCTTTAATTATTAGTATAATTGGATGTTTCCCCACATGTTTGACAGGCGTTTGGATTTCTTTTTTGTGAACTGCCTTTTGTTGGCAGCGTGTTGGTGGAGGCAGCTTAGCGTGAAGGCCAAGGGCACCGACACCAAGTGAATCCTGGCTCTGCCATTCCTGGCTGTGTTACCATGAGCAACCTCTATGGCTTTGTTCTGACTCAGTTTCCTCATCTGTACCACGAGGCCAGTAACAGTGGATCTCTTTCAGAAGGCAGTCGTGATGATTCAGATAAACCACAGCACTGGCGCATGAGCACACTGTGTGTATAGTATATGCTCTTATCTAAGTGTGTGGGCTGTATACATGCTTACATGCCTAGCAGCGCCGTCCTGCATGTGTGTTCTGGTTCCCCGTCTGCCTTCATTTTTTTATTACTATGTTTTTAAACTTTTATTATGAACATATTCCAACATGACGTTACTTTTTTTAAGATTTTATTGGGGAATTGGGGAAGAGGAACAGTGTTGGGGAATTGGGGAAGGGGAACAGCCAAGTTGTTGTCCTTCACTCTTAGTTGTGGAGGGTGCAGCAAGCTCAGCTTCAAGTCCAGTCGCCATCCGGCTGCCTGTCAGCAGCTTGCGGCCACTCGGCCTCTCAGCTCAAGGTGCCGTGTTCAATCTTAGTTGCGGGTGGGCGTAGCCACCATCCCATGCGGGAGTCGTACTGTCAATGTTGTTGTTAGAAGCACATGCTCTCACCAACTGAGCCATCTGCCACCTGCTGGCAGCTCAGTGGCAGCGCAGCTTGGATGCAGCTCACTGGCCCATGTGGGAATCAAACCAGCGACCCTGTTGCTCAGAGCTCGAGCTCTTAACCAACTGAGCCACTCAGCTAACCCATGACGTCAGTGTTTTGAAGCATGAGATTGTATCGGCACTGGACGGCTGTCAGTCTTCCCTTTGTGATGTCCTTCTTGGCTATGAAACAGGCCAAGCCATACATGCTGACTTGTTAGTGTTTTTATTTAGCCAATAGGTATGATTATGCCCACCATCACATGCCTGGCACCTACAGGTAGTTACGAATACTGCTTTCCTGTTTTCATTTACTGGGCAACTTGATTGGGTGCAGGCACTTCCGGAATATTGTGTCTCCAGGGGTACCCGAGGCATCTCTTGCTTCCTGTAATGTCAAAAGCCAGTCTGGTCATGAACACCCAAGAGCATATACATCAGCAGAAATGCCGGGGGGAGCCCCGCTCAGCCGTGGGGCACCTCACTTGTCTGTCTACACAAAGCCTTACAGGTTTTCAAAGCAAGCAGGGTGATTGTGGGAAGACCTTGAGAATTTTGAAAATTACGTTGCTGTGGCAGTAACTGTTCCAGTGGAATAAAAAACCCAGTGATAAAGAAATGAAAAGAAACAGCAACCCAACCAAAAGAGGAGGGCAATAGATGTGTGCCTAGCGACTCCATGGATTGCCTATTATGTATTTCCTAGGAATGGAGATAACCAGTGTTTATGTGCGCACCTTTCCTAGTCTAAAACAACGCCCAGTACTTAAAATTGACCCCGGAAGTTAGGACTTTCTGATACTACGTCCCAAGTCAGTAGCATACATTCACAGGCAGTGCAGTTCTGTTGCAGTATTACTGTGAGCAAATATTGAGGGAGTTTGCAGACATCTGCTTTACCATAGGGAGCAAGAGGATCCAAGTGGATGGAGCCCATATGTGCAGAGTCTGCTTAGAGGAAATTGTAGACTAAAAACACTTGTTATAAATCTGCGTGCCAGCACGCAGTGAGGTTAAACAGGATCCACGGCAAGCCAGACGAACCGTTAGAGTGAAAACGCAATAGCAGCGATTGGAGACTAAAACCAGCTCAGTAGTCAGATGATAAGGCGGTCTCCCCATAACTGGGGAGGCCCAGGCCCCTGAAGTCACGTTTGGAACGGGAGCCCAATGCTGTGAGGTGAAAGCCAGGCTTCCGACAATACCGTTGAGTGCTGGGCTTTTTCACGCGTACCCTCCTTTACATGGCCGCTCGTCAGTCACCACGTAGGCGGCTGTTAGTAAGTAGCCTTCGATGGTATGTACACAGGAGCGCTTGCATTGGGGTTACTTCCCAGGGGGCAGCGGGCACTCACCTGCCCCCAGGCAGCTGAGCATCTGCCTTAGAAGACGAGCGCCCCCGGAAAACGGGAAGGGTAGGCACCAGCGAATTGACAAGCAGGGGCTTGGGGTCATTTTGACTGTTTGCTTGTCTGTATTTTCTGTAATCAACCTGGTACTTTTGGTTAACTTTTTAAAGAGCTTCATCCAACTGGTCAAGTCCCTACAATAGAACAGCACACAAGTTTACGTCACCACCTCACAGGCCCCTGGGAGCTGAAACAATTGCTGGGGGGAGGAGATGAAAGGTTTATGAATAAGACTGTCTGGGGTTACTTGAGCTGCTCAGATTAAATGACGGAGCCCGTCTTCCTTCAAGGCACAAACTGACCCTCGGCTCAGCAAACAGATTTCCCGTCTGCCTCACCACTGCATCCCGTGGTAGACGAAAGGGTCAGCAGCGGTGCCCTTTGCCCTGCACAACAGCTGTGGTTAAGGCTTTTCTGGAACGTTCTTGTAAAGAAAGGGTTCAAGGCTGTGGGATTGTTTAGCATGAAGGCAAGAAAGCAGAGGTAAGATACAACTCATTTGACTTGAATGGAAAACAGACTGTGGGAAAGCAGGCTGGAATTGTTCTAGGGAGTTTGTTCTGGTTTTTCACCATGTAAAATTGTGGCATGTAGCACACACACACACAGAAGTGTGCCCAAAGTGTAAGTGTAAAACTTGATGAACTATTGGAAAGCAACATATGTCCAGCCCCCATCAGGTCAAGAACTAGAACATCACCAGCACCCAGAGCTTTCCTTGGGGAGGGGGGGCTCCCCCCGCCCCCATTCCTGTCCTTTATGCGGAATGTAGTTTTACCTGCTTTGGGACTTTATGTAAATGGAACCTTATATAGTATGTATATGACTCCTCTCACTCGATATCATGTTTCGATGATTACTCACCTGGTTGCCTGTGGTCCTAGTTCTTTTTGTTGTTGTTGTTGCTGTATAATATTCCATCGTAGCTGTATGCCACCATTTACACGGTTCACTTTTGGTGGACATTTGTTTCCAGTTTGGGGGCTATTTTGAATAATGAACAATGAAGCTCCTGCCCACTATCCCGGTCTCCGTCCGGGAGTGGAGAGGAATTGCGGGGTGTGACTGTTCTCGCCCTTCCTGAGCAACAGTGAGCTGGTCTCCCACCGTGATGAGGGGCTGCCCCGATCACGGTTAATGCAGCCCGTCTGGTGGGTGGGCAGGAACTCTCTGTGGCTTCACTGTGCATGTCCCCCAGGGAATGGGACTGAGGACCCTCCATATGCTTGCTGATATTTGAATTTCCTTGTGTGAAGTTCCTGTCACACTGTTTTGCATTGTTTTTCCTACTGAGCCGTTTATTCAGTCAACAAACCAACCTTCTGAAGGTCAGCATTGCAAGGGGCGCGGGGACTGTATAACACATGTTCCCTGCCCCGAGGAGAAGACTTGACAGCTCTAAAGGCAGATATGTAAACAAGTAACTCAGAAGATTGTGATGAATGCTGGCGGATCAGTCTCCCCCACCAGGCTGTTAGCTGAGGACGGACGCTTCCTCGCACCGTGTCCTCAGTATGTTAACATATCTGGCACATATTAGGTGCTTAGCTGTTGTGATAAGTGAGTGAATGAGGCATTTTCAGGGGATGGTGACGGTGCCCTAGTAGGGTAGGCGCAGAGTCATGGAGAGGCACAAAATGAGGAAGCACAAATTGCAGCCAGAAGGTCATGTGTAAAGGAGATCTTGAAAGACTGTTTTGCCAGAAGCAGTGAAGGAAGTTTCTTCCAGGCCAGGGAACAGACTGTGCAGAGGCACAGAGGAAGCGAGGGCGCAGCCTGCACTAAATGAACTCTAGTGACTGACACTTAGCGGGAATGCAAATGGGAAGACGGTGGAGACAGGGCGTCCCCTGGGGACCGTGCTGTAAAGGGGCTGCCTTGTAAATCTCAAAAGCGGTGGGGCTGAAATTGAAATTAAACACAAAAAAATGTATCACCTGGGGGTGGAGGGAGTTGCTGTTGAGCACTGGAACTGATGCACAGAGTCTTTTCCTAGACATCTTGGACAAAATAGAGCAGACACCTAAACCTGATCTGGAAATCAGTTGAATTTGTTCTCCCGTAGATAGCAGAAGTGATCTTTTGGAAAGTCGTGGTGTAAGGAGCGGGTGTAGAAGAATGGTGAAGGGTGAGTTTTGCGCCGTCAGAGCTGCACAGCCTGGGAGTCACGCCTACCTGTAGAGCTGGTGTGAAGAGGAAGGGGAGGGAGCTGCGAGGGCTTCGCCCCTGCTTGGAGGGGTGAGGGTGGCGGTGGATGGCTTTATGTAGATCATTAATTGTTCAGTTGCTGTTACTGTCTCGCATTTTACTGGCTATTATCAGTTCACATCAGCTTACAATATTCAAGGAATGTGAACAAATACTGCCCGGTGGGGATGGCAGTCATTTGAAGAGATCTGGCCCCCACCCCCACCCGCTCCGCACATTAGACACATGGTGACACTGGTGCGGACCAGGGCGACAGAGGACAGCGCCTGGGCCGTTTCTGAAACGTTAGGCTTCCGTGCGTCTTCGTCTCCCTTTGCTTTCTTGAGGGGCCCGGCCAGAGGCCTGGGGAGGTCGGTGTTCACGGCCCTTTTCCTGAAGGAAGGGTATCCTGCCCGGCTCTCATGCGAGGATCAGGTCTGCAGTCCCTGAAGCGCGGCGCCTGGGCCCAAGCCCCGCCCCCCGGCCCAAGCCCCGCCCCTCGGCCAAACTTCTCCAACAGGCGGGCCTTCCTGAGAAACGAAAGTGAAATTGAACCGGAGCCGTTTCTCAGCCCGGCAAGGAGGTGTTTCCTGTCCGAACTCCACGGAGCAGAATCCTGGCCCTTGGAGCCCACGGCCCACGCGGGGCAGGACGGGGCGTGTCGCACCTGGGGAGGGTCGCGCTGCGGTGCCCGGAGGGTCGCACTGCCCGGACATGCCGCCGGGGCGCCATGGACCCGAGACAGGTAAACCACCTCGGCCGCCGGGTTCAGCCCGAGAGCTGCGTGCGCTGTGAGCGTGTGTGCGTCAGCTCTTGCCAAGCAGAATCACTGTCCCAGGAATGGATCCTGCTAACGCTCCGCGTTGAGCGTTGCTTGGAAGAGGGCTTGTAGGGAACGTGAGCCCCCACAGGAGCGGGGCCCGAGCCCAGGCCCAGGCAGAGCCCCCTCCCTTTCTGTGAGCCCTTTTGGCCCCACTTGGACAATACGCGTTACTTGTACGCTGACCTCTCGACACTCTTTCCACTTCCGGAAGGCTTTGGGGAAATGAAAAACAGCCTTTCTGAACCTGTAGGAGAATCTTTATAGCACCTTGATTTATTATCGCTAAAAACGGGGAAAACCTAAATGTCCTTCAACAAGTGATGGGATAAACAAAAGGGGATGCGTCCGCGTCATGGAATGCTTGGCCAAAAAAAAAACAAAAAGAAAAAGAAGGAAGGCCTGATACAGGCTGCAACTTGGGTGGACGCATTATGCGGCGCAAAAGACTCCATGCTGTTTACTGGACGTTCTGAACACAAACCAAACTAAAGGGGCAGAAAACAGAGGGCGGTGTGGGCGAAGCAGTTGACTGCAGAGTGCTGAGGAGACTTTGGGGAAATGTAAATGGCCCACGCTGGTAGTTCCGAGGCCACCTGTGCTGTGGCTCCCTCCATGTTGTCACAACTTACAGAATTGCCCACTAAAAGAGTCCGTTCTGTCTGTAAGTTTCCCTCCATTTTAAAAAAAGATTTTTATAAAATATATACGTGTGTATATGTGTGTGTTTTACAAACACACACACACATCTATCTCTCTTAAAGAATGAGGGCCCCTTACGTAAAGGAAAAGCATTTTTTTCACACGAACTAGTATATTACCCTGTGAAATATACTGTAAAGGTGGTAAAGGTGGGGGACTCATCTCTTGATCCTAAATATATGAGATTGGAGGGAACTTTGGCAGGGCACTGAATGTCAAATGGCTCGTTACGTAGTTTGCGTAGTAAATAGACATGAAGTGGGCGAGGGGACAGGATGGATTTTGGAAAGACCTCCATGGGCTGGTCCCCCACTTTCTACCTGTTGCTCCCATTCACTGGCACTCCAGAGGGCCCTTCTCAACTGGGGGTTTGACTTGGCTTTTAGGGGCCTTAAGGGGGAGCATGTAAAGAATAAATTAATAACCCCCCTCTGATCTTTCTCTAAAATAACGATTGTTAAGAAATATATGTCCTTTTCTTCTGGTTTTTGTCCATCCTAGCAGTGTTCCCACTCTCATACATAGTCATGGATTTTTTTTCTTTTGTTTACAGAAAAAGAGGTTTATAGCATAATGTTCCTCCACAGCTTGCTTTTTGTGTTGTTTAATTTAGTATTATGTCATTCCTAAATTTTCTCCAAGGGAATACAAATATATTGCACCACTTTTTTTTTCTTTTTTTTTTAAGTACATAGCATGCATGGGTGGTGATTTATTCAACTCTTATTATGTTTTCATTCAAATGTTTCGCAGGTTTGGGCCAAGCAGTAGCAATTTAAATCTTGAAAGCATTTAGCTAGGAACTGACATTAGCCACTTTGAAAGAAAGTCCTTTTTCCCACGGCCACTCGAAGAGCTAATCAGAACAGCCCCGAAAAGCCTGGGTGAACGGGGCTCTCACTGCCCTCACACCTCAGCCCTCCTCGCAGTGTGATGAGGGAGGGGTTGTGTGCAGCAAGAATGGGGAGAAGAGAGGTGGGCCTGCGTGTCTCGGAGTGTCCCGTTCACACAGTCATTAATTCAGCAAATGTTGGTTCAGGATCAGCTTTGCCAGGTGCTGGCTTAGGTAACTAACTGAAGCACAGCGCTTGTCCCCTGGAGAGCTTACCGTGGAGTTGACTGCAGCCCCCCACCAATAATAAATGCTTCATGGGGGATACTGGGCGCGGAGTTGAGTATAATTTCTAGGGCACCTCGTATTGTTAATTACCTTTCAGACGTGCTGATCTACACGTGCCACTAAAAAATCAGTAGCTGTGATAAAAGGTACAGTGGGTGCTGTGAGCAGTGCTGAGGGGAGGAAAGTATGCTCCTGGGTGGGAGGCGGTGGAAGCGTAAGAAGCCGCCTGCTGGAGACAGTGAGGTTTCGGGAGACCTGTAAGGAGAAGGTCAGGCGTGTGGCAGTCGCTGGAAGCGCAGGCCCTTTGGCTTGGAATTTGGAGGTTTGGGAAGATTAGCGCTTGTGATAGCCCCGGGTAAGAGGCAGTGAGGGATGGAACTGGAAATGCCATGTCTAAGGGAAAATGCAGGGGTGGTAGGCAAGACTAGATGTGGGGGCGGGGGAGGAAGGCAGGCAGGTGGCAAAGGTGACTCTCGGGCTCTGGCCTTGGTAACAGTAATAAGAACAGCAGTGAAGGGGCTGGGTTGAGGGGAGAGATGAATAGGCTGGGATGTGTGGCGTTTGAGGCAGCAGCAGGATATCTGAGGGGACAGATTGTCTAGGCATTTGGAAATTCAAGTCTTAAGCGTCAGCCCCAGGGGGTGGCTGGAGATAATGGATTTGAACACTGTTTCTTACAAGGGCCAGTTTAGGTGCTCGGAGTGAATGGAGGAAGTCGGAGTGAATGGAGGAAGTCGGCCTAGGGAAGGAACGGGCCCTGAGGCTGACCTTGGAGACTGACTGTAAGGGGCGGAAGAGAGGGACAGGGACAGACAGAGGGAAAAAGAGAGGTGACAGGAGACCTTGGTGCTGTGTCGCCAAACCATGGAGGAGAATTTTTAACGAAGGGAGCTCAGTCCATAGCGGACCAGCCGATGCGCGCTTGCTGACCTGAACTGGCTCCCAGATGGCAGTGACAACCTCGGGAAGCTCAAGAGGAGGACTTTACAGGGTCCCATTAGCAAGAGCCAGTGTTCCCCTCCAGCACCATGTGGAAGCTTTGGAACAGAAAAAGGGGGCAGTGGGCCTTGGGGGGAGAAGGGAACTGACCGTGAGATCCAGGCTGAATGGGGATGAATGGCACTGGCAGCCACCGCGGGGTCACATGAGGAAGGAGAGGACGTTGGCATCAGTCAAGAGCGGCAGCCTGCAGGGTCACTGCCCTCTGCTCTGTAAACGAGCTTCTACGTGCTCTGCACGCGGCTGCTACGGGACACCCATGTGGCGCTCTGAAGACGTTTACTAACCCTTAGAAAAGAGCTTCAGGAGTGGAGGTTTGGTGGGGGCCCCGGCTAGAGTAACAGTGAGATTGAGTGAGAAGCTGGACAAACCAGTGGCGGCCGAAAGGTGGAAGTGGTGGCCATCACTGAGGAATTCCGCAGCCAGGATGCCTGAGCGAGCGGGATTAGCAAAAGTGCTGAAATCCCCTAATTGAAACAAGGAGTGGGGGGTGGGGGGTGACGAAGGCTGAAAAAAGGGCACAGCTGCACTGCCTACAGGTCCCTGAAGGCTTGCGAAGACTCAGATGGCGGGGACAGGCATGAGGAAGCATTGTTCCCCGCCGTTGCCCCACACACAGGTCTGCAAGCCCCAAGGGAAGGTAGCACCGTCTCTGACAGCCCCCGCCCTGGGCCCCAGAAGTACCTCCCACGGGGAGAGGATGAGCAGTGGTCTGGGGGGAGCTGTGCCCTTAGGCCTGGCTTGTGAAGGCCACGCGTGTGGGAGGGAGCTGAGGGAGTGTGGGCAGATGGGGCTGCGTGTCCAGGTGCAGACCCCGCCAGCGCCACTCGTCCAGGCAGAAGTGCCCGTGTGCCCCTCGAGCCTGGACACCACACTGAAGCGTGAGAACGATGTGCCTCTTTTCTAAGGCATTTTCAGTGCTCCTAAAGCCACACTCTGCCTCCGTCCCGCCGCCCACTCCCCTTCCCCCTCCCCCCCAGGATGGCAGTGAACCTGTGTGCTTCTGCTGCCCTTCCCCGGGTGGGTGGGCGGGCGGGTGGGAAGCCTTCCCTGGAGGCCTGGGGTTCCACGTACATATTTCTTCTTGTTCTAATCATCCAGAGCAGTGGTTCTCAACCTGTGGGTCGCCACCCCTTTGGGGGTTGAACGACCTCTTCACAAAGGTCACCGGTTACTCGTATGTGGGGTGTATCTGCATGTGGGCCTGGAGACAGATAGAGGAGCAGTGTCTCGGTTCCTAAGACCATCGAAAATATGTGTTTTCCGATGGTCTTAGGCGACCCCTGTGAAAGGTTGAGAACCGCTGATCCAGAGGATCGATTTTAGAGACAGGGGGCTAAGGGGGCTCTGCGTTCCCTGGTCCCCTGGCTCCCTTGATGTCTTAGGTTATTGTTCTGGTTTTTCTTTAAAAACAAAACATTTATGTGCTTGTTTTGCTGATTTTAAAAGGGTAGTTGTTTTGATGAGTGGGAAGATGCGTTCTCAGCTCCCTAAAATTCTGCCGCAGGGAAAAGGATTTAGGTTGCTGGAGAGGCCAGGCCAAGTGGTCAGAACCCCCATGTGCTCCTGGGAGCACTTTGTGTTTGGCCTCCTGCTCCCCTCTCTTCCTTTGGTGGGTCCCCCGGCAGTGCCTATGAGGTGGCAGGCACCCCCACCACCCCTCCAGCTGGGTCACCAGCCCTCCTCTCACTCACCTTCCCAGCCCTTAGAATCGGTGCAGGCCCCCTCCCCTGGCAGGGGGCGGGGCCAGGCTCACCAATGCAATCCTAATTCACTTTCTTTTCCATCTTGTTCTGCAGGGGTGTTCCCTCAGCAGACACCACCTCCATCCATTTCAAGGCTATGAGCACAGCAAGTTCAGACACCAGCAGTCAGAGCCGGGATCTTATCCTAATAGTTTCCAGCTGCAGCAAATAGAGTTTCTCAAGGGGCAGCTCCCAGAGGCGCCCCTAATTGGAAAGCAGACACCGTCACTGCCACCGTTCTTCCCTGGATTCTGGCCAAGGTTTCCGGGACTACCTGCCAGAGGCAGGCAACAGGAGATCTGGGGTGTCCCCAGGGGCGTGCCTCTGAGAAGTCAGGCACCCCAGAGGGGGTTCCCGCCTCCTTCCCCACGTGGCAAGGTTCTGCCATGGAGAGGTGTTGACAGGCTCTCCATCCATTTCCAGGAACTAAATATCAGCCAGGACCTGGAACAGAGGGTCTTAGAACTCTTGCGGGAGCTTGGCAAAGGGAAGGCCACCACAGCACATGATCTGGCCAGGAAGCTCCAAGCCCCAAAGAAGGAAGTCAACCGCATCTTGTACTCTCTTATAGCAAAGGAGGGTCAGGTGCACCGGGAGGCAGGCACGCCCCCGCTGTGGAGACTCACGGTCCCCGCTCAGGCTGGGAACCAGCACAGCCGAGGAGCGAGAACAGACAGCCCGGGCCCCGGAGCGCCAGCCTCAGACCCCCGTGTGGAAGTGGAAGACCCGGCTGAGCCTTTTGACATGGCTGAGCTCAAGGAGAAAATCTGCGAGTACCTGTTTCACGTGTTCAACTCCTCCGCCCTGAATGTAGCGAAAAACATTGGTCTGACGCGGGCCCGGGACGTCAATTCCGTGCTGATTGACTTGGAACGGCAGGGGGATGTCTACAGGCAAGGCACAACCCCTCCCATGTGGTATTTGACTGACAAGAAGCGAGAACGGATCCAGATCAAGAGAAGCACGAACAGTGTTCCCGAAACCCCTCGCGCCGCTACCCCCGAGACCAAAAGAAACGTCGAGGTCTTCACCTGTAGCTTACCCATGCCAGATGCCTCCGACAGCGTGATGACTCCACAAAAAGTGGAGAATGGTCAGGACCCAGCCATAAAGACGGAGTGTCAGCAAGAGGTCAAGCCAGAGCCAGTAAAACTGAACCCCCCTGCTCAGGACAATGGCCCCTCAAAAGCAGGGTATGTTGACTTTGAAAACGGCCAGTGGGCCACGGATGACATCCCCGATGACCTGAACAGTATCCACGCGGCTCCAGGTGAGTTCCGAGCCATCATGGAGATGCCCTCCTACTACAGCCATGGCTTGCCGCGGTGTTCGCCCTACAAGAAGCTGACCGAGTGCCAGCTGAAGAACCCCATCAGCGGGCTGTTAGAATACGCCCAGTTCGCTAGTCAGACCTGTGAGTTCAACCTGATAGAGCAGAGTGGACCGCCCCATGAGCCTCGGTAAGAGACCCCAGGAACTGTGCTAGGGTTGGGGTCAGGTGCTCCTGCTCGTGAGCAGCGCCGTGTGGTGCCCCCCCCCCCCGGTCTCCTCCCTCGTCCTCTCTGTCCCTGTTGGCCCTTCCTGCAGCTCTTGAGCAGGAAGGTAGGCCTCAGACCAGCCAGAACCTTGACTGAGCAAGGGGAGGTGGACCCTGGTGGCTAAAGTGAAGCGTCTTGAGAGATGATTAGCTTTCCTGCGTCAATTTCATGCCTGCCTCCTAAGGCCAGAGGTCGCGAAGACGTGACTCCCTTCCCCCTTTCCATGTGCCATCCCCCCTTTCCCTATACTGACTTCCCCAAAGTCCCCAGAAAGGCGCAGGACAGGGCGTGGGGCCGCTGAGCAGCAGTCCCTGCCCCCCGCCCCGCCCCTGCCTGTAGGGAAGGGGTGATGTAGAGCGTGCACAGCTGGCTGCCTGCCTGATGAAGGTGGCAGTTCCGAGTTACACACCTCCGCGGGGGTGGCTGGGCCAGCCCTTGCTGCTGCTCCTAAGCTGTGAAATCAGAAGTAGCCTCACTCAGTCAGCTGGCCAGGCTCCTGCAGGCCAGTGGACAGATTGCGTAAGGCGGGTGGGCCCAGAGGGGCTGCCGGAGGGCGGAGGGGAGAGCTGAACCCCTGAAGCTGAGCGGCTGCACGCGCCAGCTAGAAAACGCTCCCGTGAGGACGGGCGAGGATGGCGCTGCCCTTTATGTTAACCTAGGAGCTTCGGAGGGCGAGCATGCCCACCTTGACCCTTGTTCCTTCCTGTGACCATCTTAATGACACGGGGATGGCACTGCAGGAGAGCTGTTCAGTGAAGGGATGTGTCTGTCCAAGAGCTGGCGGGGCCTGGACTGGTTTGCTTCTGTCGGGGGTAGACACTGGACGGCCGCCATTCTCTCTTCTCCCTGCGTCCCCCTCCCCGGGATGGGGAGAAGCAGTGGGGTTGTGGTTAACCTTTATTTGGACTCCAGCCATAAGAAACATGGGTGTCATGTTCACATAGTTCAGAAGACCCAGGAAATAAGAAATTTGACCTACTTTTCTAAATGAAATCCCAGATCGAGCAAAGAGCTGAACCAGTTTGAAAGCTCAAACAAAGGAAGCCTAAGCCCAGTCCGGAGGCCCAGAGCGAACGCTTTTTGGTTTTCTGCATAACTAGGGGAAACGCCTTTCATCTCAGGCTTCAGACAAGTAGAGCTTTAGGATGACTCAAACCCTAAGAGTGGTGTGTCGCTGTGGGCAGGCTGGGGACAAAAACGCCCCGAGCAGCGGCCGGGTGCCTGATCCCTGTAGGTGTCCGGGGTGTGGGAAGAGGCCTTCGCTCGCTTTGGGTCCTACCCTCGAGGTGGCCCGTCGGCTACAGCTGTTCTAGGGTAAAGGCTTTCTGGTTGCCGACAGGACGGAAGTGGAGGTTTTAGCTCATCTATGTCGATTCATTACAAGGGACAGAGGGTTTCCCCTGAGCTGTGTGCGTGTCACGTGTGGCTGTGTTTGCTCTGATGAGCTGTGGGGGAAGAGAGTCACTGGGCTGCTGTGTTTCCAAAAAGTGGGGACAGGCTGAGTCTCTGAAAGGACAGGACTCCCTTGGCCTTCCCTCCATGGCCTGCACAGGTCAGATTGCCCCTTCGTGTAGCAGGAATTCCAGGGTGAAGATCTCTTTGGAGAGGGCAGAAGGGAGGCCTAGACTAGTGTTCACACATCTAATCACTTTCCATCAAGATTTAAATTCCAAGTTGTCATCAGTGGCCGAGAGTTTCCCCCAGCTGAAGCTGGCAGCAAGAAAGTGGCCAAGCAGGACGCAGCTATGAAAGCCATGACAATTCTGCTTGAGGAGGCTAAAGCCAAGGACAGTGGAAGACCAGAAGAGCCATACTACTGTTCCCTAGAGAAGGGATCGGAGAAGGTAAGAGACCCGCCCTGGGGGACGGTGTTGCTTACTTGGCTTTTCGGTGAAGGGTCAGGATCGTAACGGGCCCTCTTAAAGCAATGTCGGCCTAACAACTGACTCTCTATCTCAGAGTCACCTGCCTCCCCCTCCCTTGTCATACCCAGCCCCCCTTCTGCCACACCGGCCACCCCCCACCCAGAACTGCAGAATCTCAGAGTTGAAAGAGACGTTAAAGGTGATCAAGTCCAGTCTCCTCTCTTGGCAGATAAGAAAAGAGACCCAGAACGTTTAAATAACTCACCGTTTCCTGCTTAGAAAATTCCCGCAGCCCTCCGTTTTTGAGGAGCCAGCCCCTAACGTGGAGTTGACCCCCCCCCCAAAAAAAAATGAAAGAAAAAAATCCTCCCATCCCCATTCCGTCTGCTGTGATGGACTAGCCAATGTTCTCTTAGCTGTTTGTTTTTGTTTTCTTGTCTCTCATTTTCTCCAGACTGCAGAGTCCCAGCTCACCACCCCTTCCGCAACTTCCTTCTTTTCTGGGAAGAACCCCGTCACTACCTTGCTTGAGTGTGTGCAGAAGTTGGGGAGCTCCTGTGAATTCCGCCTCCTATCCAGAGAAGGCCCTGCCCATGACCCCAAGTACATCTCTTGTGTCATGTATCTCTGCTGAGGTTTTCTCAAAACAGAGAGAGATACATTCCCTCCCAGCCTCCTCAGAGGCGGCAGATTATATCACAGAGCGATCACCCCTGTTCTCACTATGGAAGATGGGGGGGGCCTGGCGGGCGTGGTTGCTGCTTGTGGAGCAGAGAACCTGGGGCTAGGAATTCAAAGGGCGAAGCAGGGACCCAGCGCTAGGGGAGCTATCGGTGGTGGGACAAAACAGTCCAAGTGTCCGGGGTGGACCCGACAAGCTCTGCTCTGAGGCTCTGCAGACGTACATGTGCAAGGGAAGGGTTCCTGCAGGAGGAGAGACTAGGCCGATGTTTAGGTGCTGAGCTGGGGTCAGCCAGGCTGAGAGACCGGGGCAGGAGGAGGGAAGAGGCACCAGCCCTGGGAGGCATAAGTGACTGCATGGGCCAAGGCACAGAGGCGATGTGTGCGAGGAAGTGACAAGTCGGAAAGGATGACAGCCTGACAGCCTAGGTAGCTCTCTTCAACCAAAGCCATTTTAACCCTTCTCCTCTCGTCCCCTGTCAGGTTCCAGTACTGTGTTGCCATGGGAGCCCACACTTTCCCCACCGCCAGTGCCCCCAGCAAGAAAGTGGCAAAGCAGATGGCCGCGGAGGAAGCCATGAAGGCCCTGCACGGGGAGGCCACCAACCCCACACCTTCTGACAACCAGGTGGGGCCACTTCCTGCTCAGAATGAACAGGGTGGGGAGGATGGCCCGGGAGCCCCTCGGAGCTGCCTGAAGCGTTTATTAATAGGTTCCTCTCTGTGTGGCTCCTTCTCCTTCAGCCCGGAAGTGCCAACACGGAATCGTTAGAGAACCTGGAATCGGTGATGCCCACCAAGGTGCGGAGGATCGGCGAGCTGGTCAGATACCTGAATACCAACCCCGTGGGCGGCCTGTTGGAGTACGCCCGCTCCCACGGCTTCGCTGCCGAGTTCAAGCTGGTTGACCAGTCTGGACCTCCCCACGAGCCCAAGTGAGTATCCGGCCTTGACCGCAGCCACGTGTCACGGGGTGGGGACAGCCTGGGCTGCAGGAGAGGGAGGATGGCCATTAGCTGTGCTGGATGGGGTGAGTGGGCGGAGCAAGTGAGGGAAACCATCCAGCCCCACCTCGGGGGCCTCCTAGAAGACAGTCCATCAGCCACCTTGAGAATACAGCCACTCCTCCAGTGAGCATGACCTTTAAAAAATTTTTTTAACTAATTTTAATTTTTAAAAGACTACTTTATATACATAGAAAATCATTCAAGCCGATTTAAAAAGTATGCAATAAAATGTCTCATTTCTCTCTCAGACCTCTAGTTTCCCTCCCCAGATCCATATACTATTACCAGTTTCTGGAATCCTTCTAGAAATTTCCACGCATGTATTAGCACATTTTCCTTTCTTTCCAGTGTTAAAATTATTTAACCAACTTCTAATGACATCTAACTTGGTTTTGGTCTGCTAAAAACACTCCTGCAAGTAAATATCCTTGTACTATCTATCTGTGTTTACATGTGCAAACTTGTCTGTAGTATAAATTTTCAGGAGTGGAATTTCTGGGCTGTGGGTCATGTACATTTTTTTTAAGTTTTTTTTTTTTAATAGGTAATAGACTATCCAAAATAAAAAAATATTATTCAAAATTAAAAAATATAAAAAACTCATTCTCACCTATTCTCCATTTGGTCCAGCTCTTAACCTACACATACATACACACACACACACGCACGCACGCACGCACACGCACACACCCAACATGTAATAGCTTTACATTATTATATGCCTTTTCATAGTATCCTTATATAAATATAAGCAAATATATTTCCCTTTTGTTACACAGTGGTACATTTATACATTGATCTCCAGCTTTTTCCATGTAACAATATTAACTTGAAGAGTTTCCATGTTACTTTATGTTCTTCGTATATACCTACAAAGTATAGTGTTCCCGTGTAGCAGGATTATTGTGATTGATTTAACCAGCCCCTATCAATGAATACTTGATTGTTGTCAAACTCTTGCTATTATAAACAATGCTGCAATGAATAACATGTTTATATGCATTTAAAAGTTTGGTACATGTTGCCATATTTTCCTCCAATAAGGTGGTACCAGTCTGTGTTTCCACCAGCAATACCTGAGAATGGCTTTTCCCCTACACCACAGTGGTATTATCAACATTTTATCTTTACCATTCTACAGTGTGGAAAATGGTGTCTCAGTGCAGCGCAAAGATTAGTTTGCATTTAGATATTTATTATAATTTACCATATTAACAGATGAAAGGAGAAAAACCACATGACCATCTCCAGAGATTCCCAAAAGGGCAGTTAGTAAAAATCAACATCCATTCAGTTTCTAAAAAAAAACTAATCCGTTCATAGACTAGAAATGATCGGATGCCTCTTTAGCATGATACAAATACATGTCCGAAGTCAAAAGCTGGCAGCCTACTTAATGTTGAACCTGGAACCACTCCCGCTAGTGTCGGGAGGAAGAAGTGGAAGCCAGTGTCGTCATTATTTAGCATCATTCTGGAGTTGCTGGCGACTGCCATCGTTAGAGCAAGAAGTCAGTATACAGAGAGGAAAGGGGATGTAAAGTTGTCATTACCCGCAAATGGTATGAGTGTATACGTGGAATATTCATGAGAAAACTGAAGAAATACTAGAGATGGGAGAATTGAGGAGAGCAGGGAATTACAAAATAATGTAGCAGAATGAAGAGCTTTTCTGCATACAGCAGTAAACACTTAGAAAACACTTAGAAAACGTAGCAGGAAATACCTGTTTGCGACAGCCACTAAAAAGATAAAGGACCAAGGCATGGAAGTAGGTGGGCTCTGCCTTAAATAAAATGCTGCTGGGGGATATACAGGAAGACTTGATTAAATAAGAAAAAAGACTGTTATTAGATAGAAACGTTTAAGGATCGCACTGTCCCTGGGTTAATCTACCATTAATGTGATCCCAATAAACACACCAATAGAATTTGTTTATTTACTTTAGAACCAGAAAACTTGATTCTAACGTTCATATGAAAAAGAACCATACAAGGATAGGAAAACCTGAAAGAATAATAAGGCAAGCAGCCCGAGCAGATGGTAAGATTCTGTTGTGTTGGAACAGAGTGGAGTGCCTTACAGCAGGCAGAAACGTCAGTAGCAATTCTGTCCATTATAAAGATGAGGCTTCGGCTCGGTGGGGAGATGATGGTCATTCCGTAATGGTGTTGAAACTGCTGACTAGCCATCGAAAAAGAAAAACGGCTGTGGGGTCTGTCTCCTTCCCAACACCTAAATTCCACTGGATCCAGGATTTAAATATAAGCTAAATGAAATCATACGCACCCTAGATTAAAAGTAGGGATTTTTTAAAAAGAGTTTGGGAGTGGCAAAAGCCTTTCCGATCAAGACACACAGTCATAAAGGAAAAAGACAGACAGGGGACTGTAAGAAAAGCTGGTGTCCAGTAAAAGGACCGCCTGAGGAAGAGCCCTTGTGGTACACAACAGCTCAAGGCTAATTTTGTTAATGTATAAGGGGTTCTGTTTTAGAAAAATGGGCAAAGTATGTGAGCTATACCTTCACAGAAAAGAAATTAATTATTAACAGATGAGAAGTTGCTCGACCGCACTTTGTAGGTTCAGTTTACACTTCGTCAATGTACTTAAACAACAGTGATGTAATTTACCATCTACATTATAGCCAAGGTAGGGACAGTGCCTTGGACCTGGCAGTGCAGTGCCACCCCTAGGAATTGATGCACACGTGCTATACGTGACCTCAGTACAGAGATTTTCATTGCAGCACTGTTTCTAATAGCACAAGACCTGAAATAGTCTAAGGGTCCATCATTTGCTGACTAATTAAGTAAACTGTGGCACGTCCACACGTGGGAGCACTATACAGCCATGAAAAAGAACGGGCACCTCTATGGCGTGATCTCAGGGTTCTTCCGAGTGAAAGGGCCAGGTGTAAAGCGAGGAAGGATGTAAGCAGTGTGCTTATATACACAGGGAACCGTTTGCAGAAAGATTACCAATCCTGGTACTAGTGGTTGCTTCTGGGGAAGGAGGGGTGCGTACTACGTTACATACTCCTGACTATTTGAATTTTTATTTGTGTGGCATCCAGTGTTTCGGTTTTAAAATGTCATTAAGGAGAAAAGCTCATCAAAATGAATCTTATATATTTTAAAGTTGTCTTAATAGTAAGTGATGTGATTCATCTATTTGTTTATGTGATTTATATTTCCTTTTCTGTGAACTACCTGTTCTTGTTCATTTTTCTTTTGGCTTGTTTACTCCTTATTGCTACGTAAGAGCATTTAGTGTAAAAAAAAAACCAAAACAGTTTAGAACCGTCAACCTCGAGGGGCCAGTAAAGGCCCTCTTACCTGCCGGTGCTGGGCTGCACTCAGCATGTGTGGGACCAGGCGGACTCCACCCTTTGTGCAAAGCCACCTGGGAGAGGAGAGGCGATGTCTCTGCCAGCTGCTGCTTCATAGTCTTCGTTCTCAACGAGCCCTCCCTGTCCTGTCCCTAACCTCATCCTTCGTGTGCTAGATTCAGTCCATTTCCTCTTCCTCTCTGCACACCCGTGACCAGGGCAGTGTCGTGATGTGATGTGCTGCGGGGACAGTGTCCCCTGGGGCGTCGAGGAAGGTTCCCTGGAGGAGGGGAAACTAATTTTAGAAGCTGTCTTTATTGGCCATCCCGTACAGCGGCACATGTGACTCCCTTCTTAACCATGAGTCGTGCTGGGTCCTCCTGTTCTTCCTTTGTCTCTGCTCTTCTTGGAGATATTAACTCATTTTATGACTTTTAATGTGGAAATGCTGGACTTTGCTAAATTCCTCTCTCCAGCCCAGACCTTCTCAGAGCTGCAGACTCCTCTGTCCCGCTGCTTCCCGGTGCTTCCTCTTGGAGGGACGTCTCGAACATGACATGTCCAAAGCAGAAATCGCGGCTTCTGCTCCCTGAACCTCTTCGGCCCTGGGTCTTTCCATCTCGGGACATGACGCCACTGTCCATCCTTAAGTTCTGTTTCTTAGACCTACAGTGTCTGTGCCGACTCCCTTGCTCCGCGTAACCCTCCAGTGTGAGCCCGCTAAGCTGAGCCACTGTCTTCTGTCGCCTCACCCATGGCGGCAGCATCCTGATCTCCCTGCTTTATTCATTCATCCAGCAAATATTTATGGAGCGCGTTCCGTGTGTCAGTACAGTAGTCGTTGACCACAGACGTGTAAGACCTCGTATTTGATACGTGTGATAGCACTCGAGGTGCATGGTGCACTGAGAGTCTGTACAGCGTGAAGACTTGGTAAGGAGAGCGGGCTTCCCTGAGCAGCGAGGGGGCTTGAGAGAGAAATGCAACTATGGCGTTGAGGGCGGGAGCGCGGTGGCCTCAAGGCCAGTGAAGGAGCAGGGTGACAGGTGGCCCACTTCTTGGAGGCCTTGACGCTTTTATCACAGAAACAGCGGGAAGCTGTTGAAGGGTTATGCGTAGGAGACCACCGCTTGCTCCCACCCCCACTTTTGCCCTCTTCCCAGAATTTTTCCTACTGTATTTTTGTGCTAAATTTTCTTTCGCACTCAGAGAAAACCATCTCAGACCTTTTCCCCTTCAAATTTCCACCAAAACCCCCTTTCTCACTCTGAACCGGTGACCGTAATTCACACTTCATTGAGAAAATAGCAACAGGCGTGTGACAGATACCTTATCTCCCCCGTCCGCAAATCCACCTCCCACCTGGTCTTACTCGGGAAGCATCCTTCGTCCATCCCATGCCTGGGTCCCCGCCCTCCTTGCCTGGCAACTCTCTCTGTTGGGTCACTCCCGTCAGCCTGTGAACACACCAGGCCCAGGACCATCTCAGAAACCTCGTTACCACCTCGTCTGCTCCCCTCACAGCCAAACCTCTTGGAAGAAATATTTATACTCACTGCCTTCACTCATTCCTAATGAACTTTTGTCTCCAGCATTCCCCTGAAAAGGTGAACCTCTAGCCATGTGTGGTTACTAAGCACTTGGAGTGTGGCTGGTGTGCTGAGGACTGAATTATTTCTTGTATTGAGTGTTCATTAAAGAGCCTCATGTGGCTGCCATGTTGACAGTGCAGCCAAAGGACTCTTAACTGCGTAATTCACAGACTTTATCATATGTATATATCTATGTTCAAACACATGACAGTCGTGAAATTCTCCAGGACTCGGGCAGAGGTCCTGCGCGGCTGGCCCTCCCCCCGCACCCCCCCATGTCTTCCGTGCCACTGTCCCTCTCCTTCCCTGACCTTGAGCCCGCTGCCCGACTCGCACCTGCTGGCATCAGCAGAGAGAGACGTGGAGGCACTCAGTTAACTGCTTAGGACACGCGAGGTGCGGTGAGAAGCCGGGGGTGGGCGCCCGTGAACGTGGGTTCCAGTTGCTGCCGGGGCTCCTGTGTCTTGTCACCGGAGCTTCCCCATGTGCGGCGGGATTAGCCATCGCTGGGCCCCCGACCAGCACATTCAGGTCTGGTTGAAAGCTAGGACTCCTGAAACCATGGCTGGTGGTGCCTCAGCCGTTTTGCCGCATTTTGCTCCTTCTTCCTGTGTGTGTGTGGAGATCCCCACCTTGAAAGTGGGGGGGCCTAGGGCACCGCCCACCTCCCTGCTCCACGAGGGAACATCAGTCAGCTGAGCTCCCATCCCCCACAGCATGTCAAGGCTTCCAGGAATCGAACAATAACTCATCCAAGTTCGGCTCCCTGGTCTAGGGCAGCCCTTGACATTTGGCCTGTCCACGTTAAGTCCTCTTGGGCATCAGACACAGGAACAATCAGGCAGAATTAAAACAGTGGTTCAAGAGGGGAGAAAGTGATTCCCTTCTCATTTCTGCTTAAGAAAAGTCCGCATACGGTGGTACTGTTTCCTTCAACCCTCTCTCATACCTGCTAAACTTTTTTTATAATAAAGACGGGTGGATCTAATCAGAATTTAAAAACGTGATTTTATCATACTCAGTTTTACAGCCACCTTCAAGTTAATGGCAAGCAATACTGGTTTTCCATTTATAGGAGTGATACAAAGTTTCCTTTGTAAATATGTTTACATTTAGAAGAGTCAATTTAGAGGAGAATATTACATAAGTAATAGTCCAAGTTTATATTTGGACCTAGCGGAAATCACATTGCGATCCGTGAGTGTCCAGAGTCTGGGTGGAGCTGCCCTAGAAACAGCTGCGCAACGACGGGCCGTGTGGCCGGCAGGACCGGCTGCATCTTAAACAAGCGCAGCCCTGCCTTGGAACAGCCGTCAAGGTCAGGGGCTTGTCTTGACACCCTGTTTCTCGTCCCAAAGGTTCGTTTACCAAGCAAAAGTCGGGGGTCGCTGGTTCCCAGCCGTCTGCGCGCACAGCAAGAAGCAAGGCAAGCAGGAGGCAGCGGACGCCGCCCTCCGCGTCCTGATTGGGGAGGACGAGAAGGCCGAGCGCATGGGTTTCACAGAGGTAACCCCAGTGACAGGGGCCAGTCTCAGAAGAGCTATGCTCCTCCTTTCCAGGTCCCCAGAAGCACAGCCAGAGACAGTTAAGACGTCTGCTTTTGTGCTATCTTTTTTGGGGTCCGGTTAACTCCTCCCCCAGGGGAGTGAACTTTTCAGCCGCTATCATGCGAATTATTCCTGGGCTTTCACGTTAGCCTCCCTGAGACGTGGAACGGGGACGCCAGGTGTGAGAAGGGGAAAGACGTCCCTCAGCTGTGTGAACGCGGCCCCCCGCCTGCCCTGAGACGTGGCGGCCGCAGCCCCGCCCGGCCCTGTGGACCTGACTTGCCTCCTGTCCCCACAGCTCCCTCTCACGGGCAGCACCTTCCACGACCAGATAGCCATGCTCAGTCACCGGTGCTTCAACACTCTCACCAACAGTTTCCAGCCCTCCTTGCTGGGCCGCAAGATCTTGGCCGCCATCATCATGAAGAAAGACTCTGAAGACCTCGGGGTCGTGGTCAGCTTGGGGACAGGTCAGTGAGGCTCTGCCCACCACGGCGCCCGCAAGCCCGTGAGGGCGAGTTGCGGGTGGGAGACAAGAGCCTGAGATTGATCTCAGTCCAGTGGATTCCGAGTGGGGAGTGAACCCTCCTTTTCCCAGGGAAGAGAGTGTGGGGGTCGGGGTCTGATAAAGGGAGGCCGTTTCTGCCTCGAGCCTTGAGGACAAACAGCCTGTCCCCTCTTCATCCTCACTTCCCTTCGGTCGTTTCCCATTTGCCTTCCATGCCGTCCCAGGGAACCGCTGTGTCAAAGGGGACTCTCTCAGCCTGAAGGGCGAGACCGTCAACGACTGCCATGCAGAGATCGTCTCCCGCAGGGGCTTCATCAGGTGAGGAGACGGCAGCTCTGACCCCCCCCCAGACGGGCAGGGAGCCCCCAGCCTCAGCCTGTGCTTCGCCTATGACCCGGGCTGCGTCCACTTGTCACCCTGACGTTGGGAGCTCTCCCTTTTCCTGCTGACTCTGCCCCACGCCCTTTTTTAAAAGGACATTGACCTCTTGGTCCTTAGGGACGAGGAAACCTTCCACCTGCACTTGAGGACCTAGAAACAGCCCCACGGCCAGCCTTCTCCTCCGTTCACCTTTCCTGTACCTGACGGAGAGACTCGGGGAGAAGCCATAGCCTCCCCTGGTCCTTGAATCCGTTTGTTCTGCCCTAGAACCCCTGCAGCCACCAGAGCGGGGAGCTCTTGGCAGAATTGAAACTGACCCGAAAGGCTGACTGAGCTTTAGCAAGTGCCGAGGTTCCCCCTTGGAGTTCCCCTCACCTTTTCAGCCTGAGGAGCGAGAAAGGGCTGCAGCGTTAAGGCTTTTCCCTGCTTGAGGTCCGATTACAGAGGCAGCTGCTCTTCCCGGCACGCCGCCCTCTTACACAGCTGCTCTTCTCGCAGGTTCCTCTACAGCGAGTTGATGAAGTACAACCCCCAGACTGCGAAGGACAGTATATTCGAGCCCGCTAAGGGAGGAGAGAAGCTCCAGATAAAGAAAAGCGTGTCATTCCATCTCTATATCAGGTCTGTACGGCCTTGGTGGCCGCCACGCTGGCCCTGCTGGGTGTCCAGGGTCGGGTGTCTGAATGCCCCTCCCTAAGTCACAGCCGACTCGCCGGGCCTCGCTCGGGCCGCTCTGCACGTGTCTGGTGTGGAGCAGCCCTCACGTCCACGTACACGCCTGCCCGTTTCGTCCCGTCCATGGTCCATGAGCCCAGGGAACTGGCGAGTTTAACGGAGGCCCCTGTTTTGCAGCACGGCCCCGTGTGGGGACGGCGCCCTGTTTGACAAGTCCTGCAGCGACCGGGCTGTGGAGAGCACAGACTCCCGTCACTATCCTGTCTTTGAGAACCCCAAACAAGGCAAGCTCCGCACCAAGGTGGAGAACGGTGAGTGACACGGCCTCCGCCATCCCCCCTCCAGAGCTCTGCCAAGCCCACATTCCTCACGGGACAAGGGCACAGCTGCCGGGGTTCGGCTGTCGGCTGCTGGGGTATGAGGGTGTTGCTGATGGGGGCGGGGGAAAGGTCTGGAGCAAGATGGGGATTCCAGCTTGAGTTAGGGGGCTGGGGAGCTCTCCGGATCATTTCGAAGGCAGGGGTACCGTCCAGAGCTCACAGGAGAGAACCTGGCTGGAAATAACCATTTGAGTGTCAGTGGGAATTCATAGGGTCACCTCAGGAGGGTGGAGGAAATGAAAAGACAAGTGATGCGGAACCAAGCCCTGAAGAGGTGACGGGGATGTCAAGCGCCCGGCTCCCCTCCTGTCTAGCCGGCTGCTGATTCTAGGCCTTGGGTTCCGGCTCCTCCTCCTCCACTGTCCTCTGACATGTCTTCCTGTGTCCTCACGACCACCCCTGTTCCCTTCAGGCCATTCCAGTCACTAGAGTGACCCGCAAACACACATCCCATCCTGTCACTTCCTTTCTGAGAAACCTAAGGTGTGAACACGGGGCTACCGTAGGGCCCAGCGACTCCCTCCTCGGCCCTTCTCCCCAAGAGAAATGAAAGCGTGTCCACACGAACGCATGTGCACAAACATTCACTGCAGCGTGATCCATAATAGCAAAAAGCGGAAACGACCCAAATGTCCATCAGCTGATGACTGGATGCCTGAGATGAGATGTGTCCATACACAGAATATAATTTGGCCGTACGAAGCATTGGAGTTCCGGTACACGCTACGACGTGGCTGGACCTGGGAAGCATAGGAAGTGATAGAAGCCAGACACACAAGATCACATCGTGTATGATTCCGTGTATAGGAAGTGCCCAGAATAAACAAATCCGGAGTCAGAGACCAGATGAGCGCTTGCTTAGGAGTTGAGGGGAAATGGGGCATGACTGCTAGTGATGGGAGGTTTCTTTTGGGCGCATGACAAAATGTTCTAAAAATGATCGGGGTGAAAGTTGCACCACTCCGTGAATACACTAAAAATCATTGAACTGTCCGCTTTAGATGGGCGAATTATCTCAATAAAACCGTTTAGAAAAACAGAGCCCCGTCCCATCGTGATTTCGTGCTGCACCTCACACAGAAGCGAGCCGAGCCTCAGTCTGCTGGCTCCCCGACAACCGAACCCCTTGCCGCCTCGGGCCTCAGTTTTCGCTGTGCCGCGTCCGAAACGCTTTCTCAACTGTTGCTTCTCGCCCTTCATGTCTCCATTTCTCTGACCATTCTGTGCTCCTGCTGTCCTGCAGCGTAGCCCCCTAAAAGCCTGCTGAGCAGGCACCACCGAGAACCCCCACATGTGTTTATCGTCCTGTGTCTGTTCCGGTCCCTTTCTATCCCCTCATCCCTCTACATGTTCTAGGACAGGATCTTAACTTGGTTTTGCTCACCATGATTGCCCAGCATGTAGTAGGTGCTATAAAATATATGAAGAGCAAAGGAGTGGGCAGCCGATGGCACACGTCAAAGTAGAAACCACGCCAGGGGGTGCTGTGTCCAGGGCCCCAAGGGTCTGACTTACGTCTCTCACGCAGGGGAAGGTACCATCCCAGTAGAGTCCAGTGACATCGTGCCAACGTGGGATGGCATTCGGCTCGGAGAGAGACTCCGTACCATGTCCTGTAGTGACAAAATCCTGCGCTGGAATGTGCTCGGCCTGCAAGGGGCCCTGTTGACCCACTTCCTTCAGCCCGTGTACCTCAAATCCGTCACCCTGGGTAAGGGACCTGTCTGGAGAGCTGGGACCAGTCTGGCACTCTAGTGCCCAGATCTCGGCAAACTGCATGCTTCATTGCCAGGTGGTAACGTGATGTCTCCCCTTTTCAAAGTGCATTTGATTCACTAGTCAGTGACTGATTCTGAGTGATCAGTGTGCTGGGATGGGAAGATCGGTTTAGGCGGCAAGCCCACGTAAGGACATGCCGGGAAAGTCTCTCCGAGACAATTTACAGAAACACCGGCCTAAGGCTGCAGTGTCTTCTTTCCTTGAGGTGCACAGCCCTTGGCCTTGCCTGGCACCGGATACATTGTATCTGTTTGATGACCTTAACTGTTTGATGACCCTGAGTGTGTCCTGGGTACCCACAATCAGGTGCTTCCTAGCAGCGCTGCTTCTGTCTGGACAATTCTGTTTTGTTCCCGCAGACACGCCCCCCCCCCCACCACCATGTGCCTCAGCCTCTTATCGGCATTTGGTGCAAATAGGTGTGTGCATTTCTTTTTCATACCAGGTTACCTTTTCAGCCAAGGGCATCTGACCCGTGCCATTTGCTGTCGTGTGACAAGAGATGGGAGTACGTTTGAGGATGGCCTACGACACCCCTTCATTGTCAACCACCCCAAGGTGCTTCCACCCCATCCATTTCTCCCTTGACAGTTTTCTCCTTTCCAAGCACTCCTGTCCGCAGAGCAAGCATGTAGAGTGGGCAAGGGGAGCTTTAGTTGGTACCCCGAGAACGTGCCCTTTTCTCCTTTCGAATACCGATGGCGTTCCTCCCTTTAGTCTGGAATGAATTTGAGTGGAGGTGGGGTTGGTGAGTCTAGAGTCTCAACCAAGCAGAGCCCTACGTGAGGGCAGGTCCCGAGCCCGCACCCCCTCTCCCCTGCGACCTTGAGTACCTGCTCCAGGGCCTCTTCCTGAGAGGCCTCCGTCTTCCTCCCGGGGTTCCTGGGACCCCTAGGTTGGCCGAGTCAGCGTGTACGATTCCAAAAGGCAGTCCGGGAAGACGAAGGAGACGAGCGTCAACTGGTGCCTGGCTGACGGCTATGACCTGGAGATCCTGGATGGGACCAGGGGGACCGTGGACGGGTGAGGAGCAGGGGAAGTCACGTTTGCCAACCTGCAGCGCCGAGAGCTCCCCACCCCGCCTTGCGTCTCCACCGGGGGCCTCCCCACCCCTTCTGGTCCCAGCTGGGTCATGAGTGCTTTTGTTTCTCCAGGCCGCGGAATGAGCTGTCCCGGGTCTCCAAAAAGAACATTTTCCTCCAGTTTAAGAAGCTCTGTTCCTTCCGGGGCCGCAGGGACCTGCTCAAACTCTCCTACGGCGAGGCCAAGAGAGCTGCCGGCGACTACGAGACGGCCAAGAACTACTTCAAGAAAAGCCTGAAGGACATGGGCTATGGGAACTGGATAAGCAAACCCCAGGAGGAGAAGAATTTTTACCTCTGCCCAGTATAGTGTGAGCCAGCGACTGCTGGGTCTGGGTGCCCCACGCCGGGGCCATAGCAGCCCTCATCACATCGGCCAGGGGCCTCCTGCCTTCTCGTGTCCCCTCCTTCTCCTCCCTTTCCTCGCTTCTCTCCAGTGGAACCACAGTCGGTGATCTGAGACCTTGGGGTTGTCCTCCTTTTGTTGGGAAGGCCAGACCGGGTCTCGCCAGGCCCCCTTCTTTCTCAAGCAGAGGTCGAGACCGAAGGGAAAAGGAAAGGGGCGCGTTCTCCTTTCCACCCAAAGCAGCTGCAGTCACTGAGCACCTGCAGCCCGCCGCGCCTTCACTGCGTTTTGGTTTTCCCATTTCCTTTCCCTCTGTTTGCTGCACTTGACCTCCTGTGGTCTTGATTAGGCTCTGTCGACCACTCAATCATGTCAGGGACTGATGATTTCATTTGTGGGTTCTGCAGGCCCCTCTGTTTACCCTCCGCCCCCTCTGAGGTTCCTTCCTTGTGATCCGGTTTCTCCTTTCCCTCCAAGAGGGTAGAGAGGTAAACTTAAAGGTTTGCTGTAACACGTATAAGGGCAGGCGTTTGGAGCTGCAGTCAGCTAAAGCCCAATGCCAAGTGTAATCGGAATCCACAGCTAATGCTCAGCGATCTTCAGATCTTGCACTTTAGCCAGCTTGGGGTTTGGGGGGGGCGGGGGAGCAGAGGCAGGGAAAGCTGCCATTCAGCAGAGCGTCCCTTCCCCAGGTGGCAGCGGAGACGAGGACTAGCCGGCCCGCTAAGGGAACTGCCCAAGCAGCAGCTGAGGTGTCCCCTGCAGGATGACCGAGACCGCTTCCCGGGGAGCGCAGACATGCCTTGGACTATTGCCAGGCTCCCAGCCGCCCCTCCTAAAGCATTCCTAGGAGTTTGTCCTATCAGTGGGGGGGATTAGGGCCGGAACCCCAGCCACCTGGTAGGGATAAGCCCAGGAGAAATCCTAGACGGACATCATCTCCACTTAGCTAATTAGGACTTAGCAAGAGTGAGGGCAAGAAAGTCCCATGGGGTCAGGTCCCTGCTCAGCCGGCATTGTTCTCATGGCAGTGACACCAAGGGGCGTTGACCAGGTATATTGGGAGTATTTAAAAGAATGCCATGAACATTGTTGATTCTTAACTCCTGCAGATAACCTGCAATTGCACAGATTTAAAATTCAGACATAACTTCCCATTTATCCAAGTGTTTTTTTGGCGGGGTGGGTGGGTGTGGGTGTGGGTGTGGGTGTGTGTGTTGCCAGATAGCTTCTGAAGGTCATTTGTGGGCAAATCACAGACCTGCGTTCTCCCTACCTGTCAGGGAACCTATAGGGTTGACACATGACAGCCGTTACAGGGGAAAGGCCAGGTTGTCCTCAGACTCTGGGAGGCGGAGCCTTGGGTCTCCACCTCAAGCTGACACTGACCCTTGGTCTCCACCTCAAGCGGATGTTGACTGGTCAGGTCCATCACCCTCGCTGGAATCGGGCTCTGGGCCAGAGTCAGCCAGACATGCCTGAGAAGCAGTCTGCCACCTTGAGACCCAAGCCGGCCTCTCTTGTCTAGAGGGTTCCTCCGTCTGAACGTGCCAGGGCCCATCCTCCCGCACCCCTGCGAACTTCCGTCTAGGTAACGCCCCACCCCCCTGCAGTAGATACACCCACACTCACACTTGTGTTCTTGTGGCTACTGTTTCAAAAGTTTACCAAATGAGAGAACCCAAATGTGATCAAAAGTTTACCAAATGAGAGAACCCAAATGCGACTCGGCTGCTGCGTTAACCAGGAGCACCAGCTCGCCCCAGGGTCTCAGGCAGCCATGCAGCGTGCGGTTTCTGCTGTAGGAGAGAGAGGCCCCTGAACCCCCGTGTCTGCTGAAGAGGAGCCTGTGTCACAAGGCAGGAGGCGCAGCCCCCACCCAGCGTGTCTTCTTCACTTTCTTGTCCAATCTTTGTTTTTAATAAGCAGAACCCCCTCCCCCACCTTTTTTTTTTTTTAAAGATCTTTGTAGTTGATTTGTCTGAACTGTGGCTATTGTGCATTCTTTGAATAATCACTTGTAAAAATGGTCGCTGCTTGACGCTGTTTCCTTCACGAAGGGACTTTGTTGGTTTTTGGGGTCTTAGCAGTGACTCCCAAGAGCAGAATGGGAAGAAGCCCAGGCTCGATGGACTCGGGAGCCGTGACGGCTGCAGTTTTTGGATTCCGCTTTTGTGTCCCTTCAAAACAGTGACTAACATACATTCCTCAATAAAAAAGAAGAAATCAGAATTGGTAGAAAGCTTTTAAGTCTTGGCTTCTTGCAGGGGAGGGGGACAGAGGGATTTCTAGCTGCATCTGACAGAACTTGGGGAGAGGGCGGTCCCGAGACCTTCAGGAAGGCGCTGTTTTGATGGGCTGGTGTGGGAGGTGAGCTTGTGGTGGGGTACATCAGGCCTCCCTTCCCCATCAGAGCCCACCCCTATCTTGTCCCCAGAGATTTGATAAGCAAGATTCCAAGGCCCAGTGTAGGAAAACGTCCACTGAGACAGTATCACAATTTATACACAGAATCCCACCTGTCCTGAGGGGGGTTTTCCTACAGCCGGTCCATGGGAGGCGTCCGGTGTCCTGCAGGGTGGTGCATATTGGGAGCAAAGTCACAGGGCTGGCTCAGCTGCTGTCTTAGGGGACAGGCCATTTGCTTCTTCATCGATAGCATCCAGAATATTTCTCCATCTTGGGTTTCAAAAAGAAGGCACCACTTTCCACATTGTCATTTAGTCCAGAATTTCCATGATACTCATCCTTGACCTTTTAAAAATGATACAACAGCGAGGCTGGAAGTCAAAAAGAGGCCCCCTTCCCTCATCCCTTATACAGATGTAACAACTGACGGCAGGAAGGCCAGTGACGTACGTATGTATTTGGGGGCGTTTAGGAGGGGCTAGAACTCCCATGTTGTTCAGTCTGTTGAAATGGTGCTGGGTGAGCTGGACAGTTTAAAGACGCAGAAGGATATGCATCTGCCTGCATGACGTACCAGGAACCTCAAGCGCCTGCAGCCCCCCCACCCCCGCCTCATTCTCAGGCAGCTCCTGGTCCCACATGGAGGGGAATGTAGCGACCTGGTCATCTAGAAATCAAGCGGATAGTTTCCTTCATGCCTACAGCAAGTGCCTGCAGAGGGGACCAGGCCGTCCTCCCCACCAGCCTCCCCGGGCGGCGGGGCCAGGAAGCAGGCCTCTCTCCAGCCTGTTCCAGCTGCTGTTCACCCTGCATTTCGTGGAGGGAGTGCGTGACTTCACACCATTTCCAGGGTTGGGGCCCAGATCAAACCACTGTCACGGCACAGGGCTGTGAGGTGGCCGTGGCCATCCCTGCCTCCGGGACACTGGTCCTCACCTCTCCCCGTCCTCCAGGTCCCTTTACAGAGGGTCCTCCGAGGAGCCATTGCTGGGCTCTGTCTACCAAAGGCCCAGCCATCCGGCCATTTCATCTCTTAACGAATGGACTTGGAGGGCAATAAATCACAATAACTGAACTGTTACCACCGACCTTTTCTTTAGATCCTTGGGATGTCTATAAACGACTCATGAGTGCAGTTTTCCCAGCATTCTCTGTTTTTCCCATGTGCGCCAACCCTGGCCCATGAGGTCCCTCTGCCCCCCCAATATAACAGACAAGACTTGTTTGGGAACAACTTTTCTTTACAAGAATCCTGAGTTCCTAATGAGTGGCCTGGAGGGGGCTAGACCAGTGCAAATATTCCAGGGACACAGACAAGGGGAGGCCAAGGTCAAGGCCAGTGGGGGGAGGGGCACCCAGTGAGGTCCCAACGATTCCTCCACCTACAGTCCCTTAGGAACCACGTGATTCTCGCTGACCTCGGACCTGCTGGGATGAATATTTAAAGGTGGCTGCTTGTTCTCTGGTCTGGGTGGGGGAGAGGGAGGCAGCCGACACCAGTGGGACAGTGAGGAATGCTGTGACACCAGCCCTCCTCTGCCTAGAAGCAGAGGGTGACTGCTGGAACCGGGTCCGCTCTGGCTTGGGGAATGAATTCAGTGAAGACCCTGACTGCCCGTCACATTCCTCCCACCTCCTGAGGCCACGGGGAGAGTGTGGACTCGGGTCGGCCTTAAGCTTCACGCCCAGCACTGCTCCCCGCTGCCACTTGGCCTCTGTGCGCCTGGTCTTTTCTGTCAACAGGGCCCGTCCCTGCAGGGTTTGAGGAACAGACGGCCATCTGAAGCACGGGGCACACAGCAGCCCTCAGGAAACAGTAACTAATTCTGGAATTGGGGGGAGACTGAGAAAGGGGGTCAAAGCCCCCAAACCTCCACAGAGCACTCCCCATTTCCTTAGAGGGGATTGACTTGGCCCTTCTCCCGCAGGCACTTCCTCTGCAGAAAAGGCCCGCTGGGGGCTGCCCGTGTCTCGTTTGCTTTTAAATTGTCCATAAGTTGGTAGCAGCTGTGCCAGTAGCTACCCCACTGCCAGGAAACCACCTTCCTCCTGCGGCAGTGCCAACTGTCAAAAGCGGAGAGTCCGTGCAGGCCCTCCTTCCAGACAAGAATGGCTAGCAGATGGCCTGTGGCCTTGCCGTTCCTGATGGAGACCACCCCAGCTCGGCTCCTCACTGCCCCCCTTAGTCTCCCCTGGGTTCCAATCCAGTATCTCTACCTCCGTCTTCAGATCTGGGGCCTCGGGTCCCTGCCCAGTGCTGAGCTGGCTACTCAACCCTCTCCAGAGAGGGCTCCACCACAGCAGGGGCAAAGACAACACCACAGGGAGGACAGAGGACCCGAGTGGAAGAGACTCGGTTCTCCCACGCTTCCCGGTGCCCGGGAGAGTTCAAACCCTGTATTGACACATGGTAACACCTGGCCGGTGCAGCGGAGCCCTCCCCCCTCCACGTCTGCCCTCCCCTCCATACTGGGAGGCCCCCAAAGGGCTGAAGCCAGAGATGGAGGGATGGCACTGCCCTGGGTACCTGCCCAGTCAGCCCTTCACGGGCATCGATCCCTCTCTTCCTTGCTGCAGCCCTCAGCCCGCTCTGTCACCCCCACTTTACAGGTGGTTATGAACAAGTTCAGAGTTAGGTGTTATCCAAGGTCAGGCAGCAAACAATCTCCGGGCCTCGGTTTCCTCATGTGTCGGGCAGGTGACGGGACAGACATGGACACGCAGCTCGCTAAGCCCCTCTAGCGCCATCTGCTGACGTCCTTGGACCACAGCCACGTGCGGCACGTTCTAAAAGCCAGTGAAGGGCTGACAGGCAGGAGTCTGGGAGAGCCAGGAGGACCCTCGGCCGGCACCCCACCTTTCAGGGGGAAGGCTCCTTTCCAGTTGCTGTTTCAGGCTCCGGGATGTTTCCTCGGGGTTGAGTTCAAGGTGGGTCCAGGCGTAGTGCAGGCAGCTCTCAATTTGCTGTTCTAGGAGTCTCTGTGGAGCCGAGACACTGCCTCCCCCAGAATAGAGGTCCATAAGCCCATTCCCGCAGGTGGGTGAATGCGCGGGGGACATCTCCCACAGCTGCTGGCTCCCACCCCAGTGACGTTCTCGCTGCCAGTATAGAATTAGATCTGCCTGGGGCCCCCGGCACACACCTGCATTGGGGAGGAACTGACCCAGAGGGAGTCCAAGGCCAAGGCCAGAGCTCAGCCTCCAGAGAGAGACCCACCCACCAGACTCAGCGAGCAGTCCCTGCCGCTCTCGGCTCCCGCAGATCCAGGCCTTGTCTGGAGGAGTTGGTTTGCTCGGGTAAGGGAAGGTCTGGGGGAGGCTGACATGACAGGTGACCCCACTCCCACCGGCTCTGACTGCCTCTCAGCCTCCACACTCGTGGGGCATGTACTCTGTGCCAGGGAGAGCACTGGGCTTTCTCACCAACACAGCATCCTCACGGCAACCCCATACAGAGGGCGTCACTGTCCCCCTTTTATAGACGAGGCAGCTGAGACCTAGCAGGCGGAGACTTGCGGGAGTTGGCTGAGTAAGTGGCAGAGCTGGGACTAGAACCCAGGCTGTGATTCTTGGGCAGCGCTCTGCAGACACTGGGTGTCCTCCCGCTCACCTGCACCCCACCCCCACCCCCACCCCCACCTCTGCTGTGCCTGGAGAAGCAGGCCTCCAGCTGGGCTCCGGAGAACAGCAGGGCTGTCGGGCAGGCACCTCGGTGCACTTGGCAGACTGGCCCGTCTGTGACTGGCCACCTGCTGGCCAGGCACTGAGCACAGGTGGGGACCATAAATCAGAGCTGGTCACGTGGCAGGGGCGGGGACAGAAGATCCCATAAGGTCTGTTTCCTGGGATAACAGGCCAGGTGGCCTCCAGCTGCCCCCTGGGAGCAGCGTCAGAATACAGCCTCCAGGGAGCCATTGGCAGGGCAGAACAGAGCCGGAAGAGGACAGAGCAGAGCAGTGGGGGGCCACCCCTCACCCCCATCCACCCCGCTGGCCTCCACCTCCAGCTCTCTCCTCTCCTGGCAGCCAGCTCTACTGCAGGCAAAAAGGCTGGCTCTGCTTACAGCTGACATCCTTTCTTTACTTACTTCAAACAGCCGGCCAGTTCAGCTGGGGGTAAAACCAGCCTGGGAGCTGGCCCTCCTCACACAAAGTACTCAGACCTCAGGCTCCAAGCAGGTCACGCAAAGACTCCGAGCTCAAAGGTTCCCAATACCCAGCCTTGCCCACCACACCCTGGCCAAGTGAGGAAGGAGAGGGAAGTCTGGGGGGCAGAGGATTCTTCACCAGGAGGAGGGCACCTGGGGCTGAGCTCCGGACCCCTTAGAAGACGGGGCTGTCGGACGGGGCTGGAAGCTTCCCCCGGGAGTCTGACCACAGCGCCAGGCTAGCCCTCTGGCAGGAGCCTCTGCCCGCCGTGGGGCCCACCCAGCCTAGCTGCTGTCCACTGGAGCAGGGCAGACAGCCGGTCACCCAGGCCTCTCTCCTCCGGCTCCCATCTGAGCTGCCATCCCATGTCCCTCCCCGCTCCTCCCACCTGCCCCTTGCCATGCTGTGGAGGCAGCGGATGACTCTGTCCCCTTCTCGGCCCCTTCCCCTTCACACTTTCCTCAGACTGCAAGGCTCCGACATCATCTCCGTCCTGCACTTCTCAGCCTTCATCCTACCCCAGCAATACTGGTGCCGGGGTTGGTACAGGAGGAAGAGAGCAGCTGGTCCAGCCTCCAGGTGGGGCTGGCTGTGTGGGGGCTGAGGGATGGGGGAGGGGCTCCAGGTGCCATGAAAGCATGGATCTTTGGGGGCAGCGCCCCTCTTCCTGGTAGCTTATCGTTCCTCCTCCGCCCGAAACTATCGTACCACAGAGGGCCAAGGGAAGACGGAGCACGGAGCTGGGGCCTCACTTGGAGCTGGGAGCCGAGTGGTCTGCGTGGAGGAAGGCGGCGGTGGTGTAGTTTTGGAACAGAGGCTGCAGGAACATGCCAATGGTGCCAAAGACACAGACAAAGACAAAGATCCAGAGGAACAGGCGGTCGATCACCATGGCAACGTACTTCCAGTCTTCACTCACCTGGACAGAGGAGACAACGGGAGGCCCAGGTATCAGCCACATGATGCAGGAGAGGAGTGGAATGGGTCTAAGCAGGTTCCACCTCTCACACACACACCACTCCTCTCCCTCCACGATTCCAGAGAGACCTTTCCAAAGCATGGCCCCAATCCTGCCTGCTGAAAAGCCTCCAGCGGCCCCCTGCCTCCAGGACCCATCCAAACTCCCAAATCTGGACTCAAGACCCACTCGTGACAATAGGAGCTTCCCTCCTACCCTCCTCCATGCTGTAACCCAGACTTACCAAACCCCAGTGCGTCCTCTCAGGTCTCTGTGCCTTTGGCTTTCCTTTCTGTCTAGAGTTCCAGTCCTCCCTTTGTCTACCTGGTGAACTCCTATACATCCTTCAAAGCCCAAATCAAATGCCAGCTCTTCTGTGGAGGCTTCCCTGTCCCCCTGCTCAGGATGAACCTGTCCCCTCTGGGTCCCTCCAGCACTGTGTATACTTTCTATCACAGCATTTTTACTACCCTGTATTATCACTTCAGTTTGCATGTCTGTCCCCCTTTCATCCCCACTACAAGTTCCTCAACTACAGGGACCCCGTCCGATTCATTCTGTAACCCCAGCATTGGAACCCAGAGTGCCAGTGAATCAGTGTTGAATTCATGAAGGAATGGCTGCCTCCGCTCCTCACCAAGCAGCACCTTGAGCACGCAGGCCCGAGGATGAGGACTGGGTCCCAGCCAAAGGACAATGACCGCTGTGAGTCTGAGAGCCGTCACAGGGCCCGCAGGAAGCCCTGTGAGTCTGGGGCTGAGTACACATGTTCCTCTGCAGCCCGGCCAGCGGGGGGATGAGAAGGAGGCAACTGCACACTGTCATTTAGTCGGCAGCTGAACAGTGATGCATACGTGTCACATGTGTGCCTACTGTGGACTTGGCACCATGCTGGCACTGGGGACACAATGAGAGCAAGACAAATCCAGCCTGAGGCTGACAGTCAGCGGAGGTAGATGGATGCAAAATCAGTGAAAATAAAAGAATTACACCCTGATGGGTGCTTACAAGGAAACAAAGGACTGAGACAGAGAAATGGGGGGAAGATGTAATTTAAGGGATGGTCTAGGAAGGCCTCTGTGAGAGGTGACATTTTACAGTGAGAGCTGATAAATGAGAAGGAGCCAGCTGTGGCAGGAATACCTTGAAGAAAGAAACAATCAGACAAACCCAAATTGAGGAACCTTCGACCAGCCTGCACCCTTCAAAAATGTTTATGCCACAGAAGACAAAGCCGAAGGACTGTTCCAAATGGACAGAAACTAAAGAGATGGGACAACTGAATGCCATTCAAGACCCTGCATTGGGGTGGGGCTTATGCTACAAAGGACATTACTGAGAACATGGGAAAATTTTTTTTTTTTAAAGATCTTTGTAGTTGATTTG